CCCAGCTAATTTTTTGTATTTTTAGTAGAGACGGGGTTTCACCATGTTGACCAGGATGGTCTCAATCTCTTGACCTCGTGATCCACCCGCCTCGGCCTCCCAAAGTGCTGGGATTACAGGCGTGAACCACTGCGCCCGGCCAGTTTTTTATATTTTTAGTAGAGACGGGGTTTCACCGTGTTAGCCAGGATGGTCTCAATCTCCTGATCTCATGATCCATGCACCTTGGCCTCCCAAAGTGCTGGGATTACAGGCGTGAGCCACCGCTCCTAGCCTTAAACCTTTTATACTAAGGTGTTGCACTCAGCAGAGAGACGGCGCCATTCAGTGAGGGCATGGGACCCCATTCTCCCACAGGGAGAAAGCAGCCACGTGGAAAAGTTGGCTTTCTCTATTTAGATGTCACATTATGTTCTTTCAGCTTGGTGAGAGTTTTGGGGCCACACTGCTGTGAACAAATTCCCCAGGTGTGGGGTTTATGTCATCTTTATCTTTGTCTTTTCCGAACTCCACCCTGATTAGAGTTGAGCTTTTCTGCCTCAAAAAGAGAGTATTGGCCCAGTTTAAATGGAAGCAGTTTTATCGCCTGGCCCTGGGAGGAAGGTGGCCAGGCGTCGGCTGGCACAGCAGTGCGCAGTTACTTCTCCTCTTCCTGGGAGTGCGTGGGGTGGGCCCTCGTGGGAGAGTGAGCCTTCCCTGCCTGAGGGCCCAGGACTGCACCCTGCCTCCCCGAGGCAGCCCGAGCTGCTCCTCACTCCACCGGCTTCCTCGCCACCTGCTATCCCACCTCTGCTAGTGCGTCCATCACAATAAGTTCCCACCTCTGCTGCTCTCCAAGGTCAGCTCCAAACCAGCCAGTCCTTTCCCCATGCCCATCCTCTTCTCGTATCTTCTGTACAGAACCTGCCTTCTTCAGACTGTCCTCTTCCCTCTGCACCACCCGTCCCGGGTCTCCTCTCACTTTTCTGTTTTCAGTTCCTGTTGCTGGTTTTCCTTTCTACCCCTCTCCTCCTTGCAAATCCTCACACTTGTGCTTTTGTTCCATTGTTCTTCCAGGCCCGTAGCTCAGGCTTTCTCTCTTTTTAAATTTTATTTCTTTTGAGACAGGGTCTTGCTGTGTTGCCCAGGCTGGAATTGAGTGGCAGGATCATAGCTCACTGCAGCCTTGACCTCCCAGGCTCAAGCAGTCCTCCCACCTCAGCCTCCCAAGTAGCTGGGACTATAGGCACGCACCACAATGTCCAGCTAATTATATTTTAGTTTTGGTAGAGATGGGGTTTCACCATGTTGCCCAGGCTGGTCTTGAACTGTTGGGCTCAAGCAGTCCTCCCACCTTGACCTTCAAAGTGCTAGGATTACAGGCATGGGCCACAGTGCCCAGCCCAGACTGTCTATCTTAAGGGTAGATGCAGCTATTAGCCTGGGAAAGAGAGATTTAAAGTTGAACTGAGTAAAGGGACCTATTGCTGAGCTGTGCAGAGGAACCCCCAGTCCCCCCGGGGGTGAGGAGGTAGGAGGAGATAGGTGGTCTCACACTGGCTGGCTTAATACAGACTCGCACTGTGTCCAAGCCTCTGGCCTCAGCCCTTTGAGTCTTGCTAGAAAAGCATTGTTAGCCTTCTGGAAGGGTGCTGTTGATTAGGACTGCCTCTAGTGGGCCAGAGGTAATGGTGGGGGCAGTGGCTGGTGGTTAAAGGAGCCCATGTGATCTTTGGGTTCCCACCACTGCTCACCATCTCCACAGCCCCACCCGGGTCCCCGCGCCTGGACGAGTACAGGAGCCTCCCTGCTTCTGCCCTTGTCTTCTCACGCAGTTCTGTTCGGCCAGCAGAAGGTACTTGAATGGCCATCACCACGCTGTTCACAATAGTAAAGACCTGGAATCCACCTAGGTGCCCATCAGTGATAGACTGGATAAAGCAAATGTGGTACATAGATATCATGGAATAATACACAGCCATGAAAAAGAAGAAGATCATGTCATTTGTGGCAACATGGTGCAGCTGGAGGCCATAACCCTAAGCAGGAAGAGAAAACCAAATACCGCATATTCTCACTTAAAAGTGGGAGCTAAACATTGAGCACACATGGATACAAACATCAAAATAATAGACACTGCTGACTTACTAGGGAGGGGGGAGTGGGGCATGGGTGGGAAAAGGACTTGCTGGGTACTACACTCACTACCTGGGCCCCATATACCCATGTGGCAATCCCACACCTCTACCCCCTATATGTAAAATAAAAGCTGATTTTTTTTTTTTTAGAGGGAGTCTTGCTCTGCCGCCCAGGCTTTAGTGCAATCTCAGCTCACTGCAACCTCCGCCTCCCAGGTTCAAGCGATTCTCCCACCTCAGCCTGCCAAGTAGCTGGGATTACAAGTGCACATCACCATGCCTGGCTAATTTTTTGGTATGTTTTAGTAGAGTTGCGGTTTCACCATGTTGGCCAGGCTGGTCTCGAATGCCTGACCTCAAGTGATTCACCTGCCTCAGCCTCCCAAAGTGCTGGGATTACAGGTGTGAGCTGCCAGGCGCAGCCAAAGCTAAAAAATTTTTTAAAAAATATAAAGCAAACCATGTTAAACCCTCTGCTGTAGACCCTCTAAGATGCCCTCAGACTAAAAGCCTACCCTGACCTCAACTCAGCCCTTTCCCCTGATTCCTGACCCTTCTTGTACCTTTCTCATGCCCAGGCCTCAGTCTGGGACCTTCCACACCCATGTAATCCCAGAGCCGGCCCCCTCACTTCCTGCTAGCCACCTTCTGATGAGCTTTGCCCACACACATGGACGATGGCTTAGCTAAGACTCCTCAGCACAGAGAAGCAAATCATAGCCTAAAGCTAACTCAAAAGCGCTGGTCTTCAGAAAACTTCAGGTTGACCAGGCACAGTGGCTCATACCTATCATTCTAGCAGTTTGGGAAGCTGAGGTGGGTGGATCGCTTGAGCTCAGGAGTTTGAGACCAACCAGGGTAACATGGCAACACCCCATCTCTACAAAAAAACACAAAAATTAGCCGGGCATGGTGCGGTGAGCCTGTAGTACCAGCTACTTGGGAGGCTGAGGTAGGAGAATGGCTTGAGTCTGAGAGGTGGAGGTTGCCGTGAGCCAAGATCGTGCCACTGCACTCGAGCCTGGGCAACGGTCATGCCCGGTCTCAAAAAAAACAAAACAAAACAAAAACAAAAACCTTAGGGTCATTATGAAGCCAATGAGTGAGTCCTGGCCAATATTTTCTTGAAATGAAATACAATAGAAAAATATCCGAATAAGGATGCAAATTGTCTTATGAAACTTTTCTCTCTCCTCTCTCTCTCTTTCTCTCTTTCTGTGTGTGTGTGTGTGTGTGTGTGTGTGTGTACTGGATCAGTGAAAATTGTGTTTCTTGCTATGGGGTCTTAATGAGTCTTAGATCACAAAAGCTTGAGAAACAGAGAGTTAGTCGGCCAGTCAGCATGCTTTTAAAAGGGGCTTCAGGCCAGCTTATGCCTGTAATTCCAGCACTTTGGGAGGCTGAGGTGGGTGGATCATTTGAGGTCAGCAGTTCGTAACCAGGCTGGCCAACATGGTGAAACTCCACCTCTACTAAAAATACAAAAATTAGCTTGGTGTGGTGGCAGGTGTCTGTAGTCCCAGCTACTCAGGAGGCTGAGGCAGGAGAATCACTTGAACCCGGGAGGCGGAGGTTGCAGTGAGCTGAGATCACACCACTGCACTCCAGCCTGGGCAACAGAGCAAGACTCCATCTCAAAAAAAAAAAAAAGGATGGGGGATCCTTAAGTCTAGTTGAATATTTAGGAATGTTCCATAATAAACTCAGGGTGTTCTGCCTGACTTATGGGTAGATCATCATGCTTATGTCCTGGGTTCAACACACCATCATAGGAGTTCTTCAGGAAGGCCCAGCCAAAGACGAAATCATCCTTTTCATGTCTCTTCACTGCACAGGCTGGAGTAACATGTAACTGCCACCTAGCTTCTTAATCACAGTCTAGACTTCAGGAGTATAGAGAAAAAGCCTTCTGTGTTTCTCCACTGAAATGATGCTTTCTCACATGTGACATGTTTTGTGGGGCAGCACTTTGAAGATTCAAGCCAACCACTCTTAAACCTTGTTTGGTTTGGGCTAGGGGAAAAGACAGCCCCAAACTCTCTAAAGACACATTCAGGAGACTTTCTGTTGATTTTTCTGCTTTGCTGAAGTGGTTCTAACTCCAGGCATTCAGGCATTGTTTAGAGCCATCCACACTTTTGAGGATGGCAGTGACCACTGTGTCTGCCAATTAGCAGAGGGACCAAGGGCCTTCTTGGCCCCTTCTTGCCTTTTTAAAAATTTTTTTGAGACAGAGTCTCACTCTGTTGCCCAGGCCGGAGTGCAGTGGTGCCATCTTGGCTCACTGCAACCTCTACCTCCCAGGCTCAAGTGATTCTCCTGCCTCAGCCTCCTGAGTAGCTGGGACAACTGGTGTATGCCACCACGCCTGGCTAATTTTTGTATTATTGGCAGGGGTGGGGTTTTACCATCTTGGTCACGCTGGTCTTGAACTCCTGACTCCTGATATCAAGTGATCCGCCCACTTCAGCCTCCCAAAGTCCTGGATTATAGGAGTGAACCACCACGCCCTGCCCCTTCTTGCCTTTTTAGAAAACATGTGTGTGAGTATACCAATCCTGGAGTGTCCAGATCTCATCTTGAGCAAGGAATGCATAAAATTGACTTGTCTGAAATCAGCATTCTTATGCTGCCTGGGATCTCATGTCATCCTCACCTCACTATGTCAACCTTACCTAATCTGTTCTTACCTCCAAGCCCTGAACCTTTAAAAGGCCTTATTTTGATATAGAACACAAGAGCTTTTTTAATTCTTTAAAGAGGAAAATATGAAGTGTGTGGCATTTAAAAAAAAATTCTTGTATTTAGCCCAATTTTTTACAGATCAAGAGAGGGTAAATGGTGTATATTGTCACCAAAAACAAGGAATATTTAATCTGGAAATTCTTAGAAGGCTGGGAAGGAATGTGATTGATGCCTTCAAATTATGGAAAGGCTTCCTTGGAAGGGTCAAACTCACCCTGTGTGGCAGCCACCTAGCCTCTTAATCACAGTCTAGACTTCAGGAGTACAGCGAAAAAGCCTTCTGTGTTCCTTCACCGAAATGATGCTTTCTCACATGTGACATGCTAGGGCAGTGTTAGGACCCAGGGTAGGAGGTATGAGAGGTAGATACCAGCCTGAGACAAGGAAAAGCTTTCTAACTGCTAAAGATTTTGACCAGAAAAATAAGCCACCTTGCAAAGGTAGAAGGTTCCCTATGCCTGAGAGGGTTCTAGCAGAGGTGATGTGATCACCCACCCCGATGGCAGTGGAGCTGCTGAGTTAAGTGATGCTGGGTGCCCCTACCTATTAAAATGTATGAGTCAAGATTTTGGTCTGGGAAGAAGGAAGAGGTGAAAAAACTTTATTACTTCCAAAGTAAATGCAGGTAGCTTGAACAGTGTTATTTTGTGGGGTACCAGTGTTTGGGGCAGTAATCTTGTGATGAGTTGAACTTTTTAATTCCATCATGCATATTTTGGATAATGTGTATGCTCTGGTAAGATGGATTAATATTTAACCTCTGTTCTCTAATTAGGGTCATTGGTTTCCTGGAGGCTATTGTTTGCATAAAATTTGGACAAGATCTCTTCTCTAAGACCCAAATACTCTATGTTGTGCTTTGGCTTCTTTGCGTGGTAAGTCATTGCATTTTAACCAAAGGCATTAGCTAAACTCTCATAGTATCACCTTAAACGGAGGGGAGAAAACCCGTCTCTTGCATCAAGTTTCCTTAGAAAATCATAGAAAGATGTTCTACTTGTAATTGTCTGAGACTGGGCACCAGCCTAAAGTTCAGGAATAAAACACAGACAGCTACACAGTATCTGAGATGGGTCACCTTGGCAGGTTCCAGTCAGACGCCTTCGTCAGGTACACTAGTGCATTTGCTGCACTCACGGGGATTTGTCTACACAGGCGACGCATTTAGGGACTGCCATGAAGGGACAGGGAGCATCACAGTGCACTTTCCTTTCTCATCATCATCATGTGCTCTATACATTTAACAAACATATCGTAGCACATGAGTTTATATATACAAGGACATAGTGTTCATAGGCAATAAAATATGTCTTGGAAGATAATTCGATCATGCCGCTTCTGCCCTCCAGGCCGACTTTATAACCCAAGCCTGGATATAACCTTCCACTCTGAAGCACAGAGCCCGGAGGGCCGCCCGCCTAAGCCTTGGTTCTTTGGCCCTGGGCCTCTTCCTCGCCTTTCCAATGAAGTAAGATATTACCCACTTAACACATTTTATGACTGCCATTCTTCATTTAAATATTTGAAGTTATTATTTTGAAGAAAGGTTCTTATTTTATCTTTAAGCTTAAGATTTTTCACTTAGTCTAGACAATTTATTGGGCTTTTTAAATAATCATAGACAATTTCAAACATGTTCAAGTAGAGAGAGTAGATAACCCCTCATGTACCCACCATCATCGGTTATCAACTCATGGCCAGCTGTGTTTCCTCTTATGCTGTACTCACTGCCCCAACGCTGAATTATTTTGAAACAGATCGCCGTTATTTAATATTTCAGGATGGATCACTAAAAGCAGCTCAGGATGCTTTTTCGATTTAATGCAACCACCCTACCATTATATCTGAAAAAAGAATTAACAATGATTCCTTGATATCATCAAATACCTAATCAGCATCCAAATTACTTTTTCTTAAGGCTTGTATTTATTTAACAATGTATTTGAATCCACATTCACCCACTGTGATTGGTGAGCATGCCTTTTAAGTCTTAATCCACAGGTTTTCCTTCTGTCACTCACCCTTTTCCCTCGTAATTTATCGGTTGAAGAAAGCAGCTCTTTTGTCCTATAGATTTCCCCATAGTCTGGATTTTACTGATTTTCATCCTATTTTGTAATTTAACATATTTCTTTTTCCTCTGTATTTTCTGTAAATCGGTAATTGGATCTAGAGGCTTAATCACATTTAGGTCTAATTTTTTCTTTTCTCTTTTTTGGCAAGACTAACCTTTGTATTTTTAACGTGTCTTTCATCGCCTTTAACGGAATCTATTTTTAGGGCGACTTGTTAGAAATCGTAACTGTGCCAAAGCACAGTGAGCCTGTTCTATCCTGTTTCATCTTGAAGAATAAAAGGGAATAATGATCTCTTTTGTATTTAAGCAACAGTATTAATGCCCAAATATATTTTTTCATGTCAGTGAGATTAGATGTAAGGAATCGTTAGGGAAATGTGTTAGACGTGCCCAGGGATTCTCCCTGTTCCCTTCTCGGATATGTCTCTGGCCTGTGCCCCTCAAGTCTGAATTGTAATAGGACCTGACTGCAGGGGCAGAGGTGGGTGCTCTCTTCACTGGGTACCAGAGAACCATGGGCCCACAGGGAGGGTGAGACAGACAGCCCTCCTCACCACAGCAAGTCACAGGCCTCCCAGCTGCCTCCTCGCCACTGCCCCCCTGGCAGCAGTAGCCAGAAAGATCTTCTCAAGCCACCTATCCAAGAAGCCCTCTCTGGTCACTGTCTTAGTCCATTATCAGTTGCTACAACAGAATATCATGGGCTTGGTAGTTTATAGAGAAATTAAATCACAGTACTTTATTTGGTTCATGGTTCTGAAGGCTGGGGAAGGCCAAAAGCATGGTGCCAGTATCTGGCAAGGGCCACCCCATGATGATGGAAGAGCGGAAGGTGGACGTGAACATGCAAGACAGCAGGAGGGGGGCCAGAGCTACCCTTCTTATCAGGAACCCACTCCCATGATCACTAACACACTCCTGTGATAACAACCCCACTCCTACAATAATGGCATCAATCCATTTACGGGGTGCACTCCTCATGAACCAATCATGTCTTAAAGGCCCCAACTCCCAATACCATTACACTGACAGCTAAGTTTCAACGTGAGTTTTGGCAGGGACATTCAAGCCATAGCATTCCACCCCTGACCCCTTGCTTCTCAACATATAAAAGACATTCATTTCATTCCAGTAGTCCCAAAAGTCTTAACTTGACCCAGCATCAACTCAAAAGTTCAAAGTTCAGAGTCTCATCCAAATCAGATATGAGTGAGAGTCAAGGTACAATTCATCCTGGGGTGAATTAACATCACGTGGACACCACCAAGGTTTCTGGCCTATACCTTCCAGAGTGGTAGCCCAAGCCACACCAACGTCCACTTGAGCCACAGCCAAGGACTATGCCAGCCGTGAGCCTGTGAAATCAAACTGGTCATCTACTTCCACAATACAATAGTGGGATAGTCATAGGATAGACATTCCAAATCCAAAAAGGAGAAATGGCCAAGAAGAAAGGGATAAGCAGTCCCAAGTAAGTCTAGAACCCAACAGGGAAACATTAAATCTTAAAGCTGGAGAATAATCTTTTTTGACTCTATGGTCTACATCCTGGCCTGGGGCAGGAGTTGGGCCCCAAGGCCCGGCAACTCCACCCCTATGGCTGTGCCGGATTCAGCCAGTGCTTCAGCCCTTCCAGCCAGGAGCTGCACATTGGCAGCCCTGCAGTTCTGCAGTGTTGGGGTTACCCTGCTCCCACTGCCCCTCTTTGGTGGCTCCAGCCCCACATTTCTCCTTGGCATTGCCCTGCTTACTAGTGGCTCTCTGCAGTGACACTGCCCCCATGGCAGGTTTTTGCCTAGTCTTCTAGGTAGTTCACCACATCCTTTGAAATCTAGGTGGAGGAGGCCGTGGCCCCCACAGCTCTTGCATTCTGCACACCTGCAGAATTAACGCCACATGGACACCACCACAGTTTGTAGCCTATACCTTCTAGAGTGGTAGCCCAGGCCACACTATGGCCCACTTGAGCCACAGCTAAAAGGCAACCAAGGAGCACTCTGCTAAAATATGGTAGTAGAGTCCCTAGGTAGCTCTGGTGAGCCCGTGGAGGGCTCCCCACACCTGTAACCCAAAATTATTCTGCCCTCTTAGAGCTCTGGGTCTGTGATGGAAGGGGCAGCCTTGAAGATCTCAGAAATGCTTTTGCTTCCAGGAGTCTTCCTCCCATTTTCTTGATGAATGGCACCTGATTTCTTTCTTTCCATGGTAATCTCTTTAACAGTCATGTGGCCTCACCCTTAGTGATGGGAATATGCTTTTTTCTCTTTATATGGCTATGCTTTGAATTTTCCAGGTTATTCCACTCTGCTTCCCTTTTAATTATAAATTCTGTCTTTAAGTCATTTCTTTTCCTCTCACATTTCATTGTATGCAGTCAGAAGTGGCCACACAGTAGTCTGTATGCTTTGCTGTGTGGCTTGCTTCCACCAGATATCCAGTTCATTGCTCTTAGGTTGCACGTTCCAGAAAGCCTTCAGGCATGCGCACAATTCAGCCAAGGTCTTTGCTACTGTATGACAAGGATGTCCTTTACTCCACTTTCCAGTCCTTGCTCCTCATTTCCATCTGAGACCTCATCAGAACGGCCTTTACTGTTCATATTGCTACCAGCATTCTGGTCATGAACATTTAAGTAATCTCTAAGAAGACTGAGGCTTCTTCTCTTTTCTTCTGAGCTCTCACCAAGATTGCCCTTAATACTCCATTTATAGCAATACAGGATTTTTCTAGCTTGCTCCTCCAAATTATTTCAGCCCCTACCCACTAGTAGTACATGGTGAAAAGAACACCCAGCCAGTTCCAAAACTGCTGCCACATTTTCAAGTATTTGTTATAGTAGCCGTCCCACTTTTGGGTACCAATTTTCTAGGCAGTTTCATGAATTGCACATTTGATCTTTACACTTTGAGGGAAGGTATTTTATGATCCCTGTTTTATAGATGAGGAAACAAAGGTACAAAGAAGTTCACTAACTTGCCCAAGATCACATAGGTGGTTAAGTGGCAGAACCAGGACTCAAACCCAGACATTCTCTCTAGGGAGCTGCTCTTCATCACTGCCCTCCAAGGATCTCTGAGTTCAGATGGCAATTAGACCTGCAAACGAATTATGTTAATATGTGATAAATACTATAAAAGATGTATGTGCATAAGGCTAAAGCATTCTTAAAGCAGCAGACATGATGGGGGTTGGTGAAGACTCCTTGGTGATATTTGAGCAGGATTTTTAAGGGTTGCAGTGAACGGCTGGCTGTCCCCCAACCCCCCAGGCCCCAGCTAAAAACCTGGAGGCTGCTTCCTGTCCTCCATCACTCTTTGAATCAGCAAGTCACTAAGTTCTGTTAATTGGACAGTGTAGCTCAGCTCCACCCCCTCTCCATTCCCACTGCCTCTGCGGCTGTCAGGACACCCATTTTTTTTACCATTCTGCCCTCCAAATCCATTCTCCATGCTGTCAAGATGATCTTCCAAAATTCAGAACTCAGTCTCTTTCCCCTGCTAAGAATCATTCTCTCTGGTTGGAGGCTTGAGAGGGCACAGTAACATAATATTTTTCCCCACCTGAGTTAAAAATAAGTAAGAGATAAGGTAGAGGAAAGATAGGGGATCAGAGTAGCATCTTCATTGCTGAGAATTCACCTTTTTTAGGAAATGCCGGCTTCCTTAGAGTCACCAGTCAAGATGTGACTCCTCCCTAGGGAAGCAGTGCGGGGTGGAGGGAAGCAGTGAAGCTTCCTCCACATAGGAAGAAACTTCAAGAAGGAAAAAGGCTCCCTACCATGAAACCTCCCAGATGAATTACAAAATCTGTCTTCGTAATGGGAGCACTCCATCACATCTGGCCACTTGTACTGTATTCTCAGGCTGCACCTGTCTGCTCGTAGTTCCCTGAAGAAGTCATCCTGCCAGACTTCTTTTGCCCTTCCCATGATGTTTTGCTGCCTGATCTGAAAGACTTTCCCTGTCTTATCTACCTGGCAAAACTGATACCCCAAAACCAACTTCCATGTATGCCCTACATGAAATATGCTCTGACCTCCAAGGCAAGCAGATAGCTGCCTCCTGGGGACCAGTCACACTTTGTACGTAACTCTCAGTTCTAGCCCCGGTTCAGTGGAATTGGTTTTGTTGCTATCTGTCTCTTCCACATGGCACTTCTCGCTCACAAAGAATAAGTTGAAGTCATCTTTTTGCCCCCACTGTCTCAAGCACAGTGCCTAGTGCATAGAATGCACTCAGCAGCTTCGTGGGGAACACAGGAATGAGTTCAAGAGACAAAGACTAGCAACACGCAGGTGCGTGGGGGACACACATACAAAGACAGGAACCTGTGAAAGTGCCCAGCGGCTCAGGAAGGTGGAGACCTGTTTGAGTAGTGACAGTGAAGGCAGCGAGTTGGATGAACAGTAGGACACGGTCTCCTGCTTAGGGTTTGTGTGGCTGTAGTTGGAGCCCCGGCAATTTTTAAGCAGGAAAACAATGTGGTCTGATTTATGTCTTATGGAGAAACACCATGGAGGCTGGGAGAATCTAGAGGGAAGATGCGTTGGGGCCAGGAGGTGCAGTTGGAGGTGCTGCCAGGCCTAGCTGACAAGTAACTGAGGCTGAACCAAGGCAGAGGCATTGAAGATGCAGAGAAAGGGCTGGATCTGAGAGTTGTTTAAGGAATCAGCTTAACAGGATGCCATTCCTCTTGTGATCACTGGGAGGGGCCTTGAGTGCCACTCCAAAGGTTCTAACTGGTGCCACTGTGTGGCCACCGTTGCTAGTGAAAAATTGGGGGATATAAGAGAAGCCCATTGAAAGGAGGAGGTAAATTTGCTTCAGGGGGTTTGGGTTTGAAGAACCTTTAGAATTTACAGGTGGACGTGTCCTGTTTTATGGGAAGTTCCAGTCTTCAGTATCACTGGAAAGATTTGGTCATTGGGAGATAAAAGACTTGGGAGGAGCCCATGTGGAGGGCGCTGTTGGAGTCCTGGGATTAGGCTAAGAGCTCGAGCTCGGGGAACATGTCTCTGGGAGAGGAGCTGACTGAGGCTGGGATTCTTTAATAAGAGGTCAGGCCGGGGACGATGAGCAGGATTTTGAAGACAGGCAGAATCTCTGATTAGACTTACTAGGGATGAGACATGAGAGAGGGACCTGGCCGAAAAGTAGCCCCGACTGGATGATTAGGGGTCTCCACTGCCTCCCACATTTACATTCAAAGAAGAACCGAAACAAGGTCCTGGCACTTTTTTATATTCCTGACCTTCATTATAAAGAGCAAGATTGATCTCAGACCCAGGAGTAGAGGCGAACATTCTTCAATAAGAGCTTCAAGTTACACTGTGCTTCTGCACCTCTCAGACAAGCAAAGCCCCTAATTACTCCCCTGGCCTGGTAAGAGAGCGCACTCAGAGCTTGAGATTAATACGGAAGCAAAGATCCCGGGTGCTGGTTAATAAGCTTCTCCAGAAGCGCGGCTGTCTGCTCGGCGGTCATTAATTTGAATGCTCATTACCATAATGTGGAAGCCAAGCTGGGGTCCTGCGCCCTCATTACCGCCAGCCCCGTGGTCCTGGACAGCCTGGCTCTCATCCCACGTCGATTTTTCTCGCTCCCCCGCCCTTTTTTTAAACAAAGTATGCAACTGCTATTTTAAATCTGAATCTTGGCATTTTCAGTGAGTACGTGCCTACATTTCCACAGGTGTGATTGCAAACCTGTAAATTACCAGCCTCTGTCTGCTGGAGCAAGTGTAAAATCGGCCTCTTTGTACGCAGGTGAAGTAGATGTGGCAATCACAGCAGACTCTTTGTGTGGCGATTGTGATAATAAGCACCTGTTGCTCCCCACCTGCCTGCTGCTTGCTGCTGGAGGGAGCGGCAGCTGCCACTGCACTCCGGTAGGGCCTGGGCTGGGGAAGGGAAGAGCCCCACGTGGCTGCCCTCTGGTGGTCAGAGTTTGCAATGACAGTCTAGTGGAGGGACCCGCCTTCCCACAGCCCTCTGGTTTGGGAAGGTGGAACCTAACCCCCCAGTCCCCTGTGTGAAACCCAGGATGGCCTGTTTTGCTCTTTGTAGTGGGCCTAACGCACACACAGTCTTACGCTCTGCAAATCATTTCTAATCCTTCCCACTCTTTCCATGCCATGGAAATGGCACACTTAACATTGGTGTATATAAGAAATCTGGGCAAGCATTAGAGTGTGTTAAAGGTTGGAAGTCGTTTTCACTTTGCAGTTTTAATGGATTCATTCATGGCCTAATTTTTGGACGGAAGGATATGAGCTTTTTAAAAATCCCTAACCTGTAGATATATGCCAGTTTGCACATGGGTTTAATATGAAATGAACCAGTGGCGCTCCTTGTGCTCTCATTCTCTCTCCACCCTGCCACTGTTCCTGCCCCAGTGTGACTGGCATGGAACGGGAAGGTCAGCCGGAGTGCTGGTCTCCATTCTTTTTTGGAACTAAGATGGCGCTGTGTATCCAGCAGCCACCAGAAAATGTCGCCGATAAAGGAACTGGGCCAAAGCTATACTGCAAGCTGCCGTGATGAGAATTTACAGCTCCTGCCTTCCCGCCCTGCCTCTGCTCCACCACTGGACTCTGGCTGTGCAGAGTAGAAGCTGCTGCTGTTGGCTGTTCCCATGATGCTTTTCTTTCTCAGGGGATGGATATATGGATGCAGAAATAAAGCTATATAGGCATAAAGCCAATATTTGTTTATATCACTAGCCATCCCTTAAACTCAGATCCAGGGATTTCAAGAGGCCTGAGTTCCGGCTGCAATGTTCACCTCTCTGAGCTTTCATTCTTCTTCTGGAAAATGAGGGGCAATGAATTTAAGGATCTCTGAGGTGACCCTTTGCGATCTAAAGTTCTGATTCTTAGAACTAAAATTGTTTCCTTGAGAAGGTCCCTCCATGCTTTCACGGCTGTCCCCATGGCTGGTGCAAGATGGTAGGTGTCCAGGGAAATGACAGGTTCCCAGGTGTCCACAGGAAATGCAGGGGAGAGATGGAGCCTTGACAGCCGCGATGGCTTGGTGTGAATGGGTTTCTAGAGTGAGGAATTCGGAAGGAACAGACAGTTGCCTTGCTTGGTTCCAGTTGCTTTGCTTGCAGTGGGAAGGTGAGGCTGGGGAGATTCATAGCCTCGCTCTCCCCACTCGCCCTCCCTCCCTCTCGCCTTTGGTACGCAGTCTAAGCAGCCAGAGACTTTTCCCAACCTTCGATTTTTTGACATGTTTTGAAACTTTGGACTCTGGTCTCTGCGTTTCTTTCCTTAAATTAGGGTCTAATTTGGGGCGTGGTGCAAGGCCAGTGGGTGGGGCAAGTGTGGAGCAGAGGTTGTCCCTGCCTCTGGGCACCCTCAGGCCACACCCTTCTCATTCCACTCAGGGCCTTACAGAGCATCTTTATTTTCTCATCGTTTTCCTATCTGTATAACCAAGAAAAACAGGGAAAAGCAAGGGCAGCCCTGTCTCGCCGAGCTCCCCACCCTGTACCCTGGGAGTGTTCATCACTGGGCCCTCAGGTGCCATGGTGACCTCTTCCCCCTAGAATCCTCTTAGCACTCTCCTGGGATGGGGGAAGCTGGGAGAGGATGGGCCCTGAAAATCAGAAGTAGAACATAGAATCCTCTATGTCTTCTTGAGCAGAACCTGCAAAGCTGTCAGGAAAATGCATCCCACCGTATCCCACATCTGAAAATGGTCTTGCCTTCTGATACTAGAGTCACAAATAGTAACTGTGGTCTCATCATAACCCTTGTTGTCAGAAGCTTTGGGTGTGTACCCTCCCCTTGGGGTCCGATCTGTGCCACATCCAGCCGTTTTGTAACTGGCATCCAGACGGCAGAAATGCATTGAGCCATCCTGCATGAATTCCCATTGAAACCCTGAAGTTCTGGGAAATTGAATTTTCTTGTGCAACATCATTTGTTTTTCCCTTCCAGGCTTTCACCACTTTCCTCTGTCTGTACGGCATGGTTTGGTATGCAGAACACTGTGGTCAACGAGAAAAGGTATGGAAGGAGAGGCAGGGATGGCCTTTATTTATCAGCCCGGGCTCAGCAGGTTAGCTCAGAGTACATGCCTGTAAGGGTATGGCGAGGTGAGCACTGAGATGGGGCCTCCAGGCCTGCCACTGCAGAAACCTGAGCGTGTGCAAGTCATTCCTAGCAGTTGCTGGCCCTGCTTAGGACTGCTCTCTTCAGTAGGTCAGTATTTGTATCTGTCCAGGGAAGTGACAGGTTCCCAGGTGTCCACAGGAAATGGCAGGGGAGAGATGGAGGCCCGACAGCCGGGATGGCTTGGTGTGAATGAGTCTTGTAAGGGGTTTAACAATTATGTTTGGAGAAAAAAAAAAAAAGCGGTGGGAAAGCCCTGGACTGGCTTTGGAAGCTGGGTTTTCCCCCCAGCTCTTGAACTGTGTGTGTTCAGCCTGTGGCGCCCTCAGGCAAACGCTTGCCCTGACCTTCGTTTAGTGGATATGAGGATGAAATAGAAAATAGACATGAATGGCTTTAAACATGATGGTAGTCTGGTAGACGGTAATTTTTTTAAGTAAAAATAACACTTTCATCCTTCATTTACACCTTCAGTCTAAAGAACTAAAAGCATGTTATGGAAGGTGTATTCCACATCACCTGGGAGAGGAAAGCAGCTTGATTTTATAGCTGAGAAATAAGCACAGGAGGGTTCTGCCACTCACTAGTGATGATCGCAGCCTGGTAGAGGCAGGGACGCAGCGTGCTCGCCTTTTTCCCCTGCCGCTCCTCTGGGGAGGTCCTGAAGCTCCTCACTAAGCCTGTCTCTCTCCCTAGACCTACTCAGAGTGTGAAGATGGCACCTACAGTCCAGACATCTCCTGGCATCACAGGAAAGGTACAAAAGGTATCTTGTTCTTGTTCATTGCTTAAAATTTTACTGGGTCCTTGAGATGTGGAATTATTACTTACTCTCTGAGGGGAGATGATATAAGCCCTGAAGGGTCTCAGGCCTACCCATCAAATGTCTCCTGTCACTTATTAAGAAACACGCATTGGCCAGGCACGGTGACTCAGGCCTGTAATCCTAGTACTTGGGAGGCCGAGGTGAGAGGATCACTTGAGGTCAGGAGTTTGAGACCAGCCTGACCAACATGGTGAAACCCCATCTCTACTAAAAATGCAAAAATTAGCCAGGTGTGGTGGTGGCGGTTGCCTGTAATCCCAGCTACTCAAGAGTCTGAGCCAGGAGAATTGCTTGAACCTTAGAAGCAGAGGTTGCAGTTAGCTGAGATTGTACCACTGCACTCCAGCCTGGGCAGCAGAGTGAGAGACTCCGTCTCAAAAAAAAAAAAAAGAAAAGAAAAAGAAACATGCAAAGTGCTCACAGGATCTACCTGAAAAACTTGGTTTCTAACAAGAGGCGTCATGTAGCTCTGCCCTTCGTGAGGCAGAAAACATAACAAGCCCCACACTGTTTCCAGCACGCTGATGGGAACGTTCTTCCTCTTGGCTTTCATCATAAGTGAAGAGGAAGAATTATATATCGGGCCAGGCACAGTGCCTCACACTTGTAACCCCAGCATTTTGGGAGGCCATGGCAGGATCAGTTGAGGCCAGGTGTTTGAGACCAGCATGGGCAACACAGCAAGACCTATCTCTACAAAAAGCCTAAAATATTAGCCAGGTGTGGTGGCACATGCCTATGGTTACAGCTACTCAGGAGTCAGAGATAGGAGGGTCACTTGAGCCTGGGAGTTTGAGGCTGCAGTGAGCTACGATTGCACCACTGTACTTCTACCTGGAAGACAGCAAGACCCTGTCTCTTAAAAAAAAAAAAAAAAAAAAAAAAGAATTGTGTAACAGGAGGAAAAGGCTTTCAAAAGAGGGGGATGGTTTTAATGGCATTTATTCAAGAGGCAGTGCAGTGAGGGGGCCTCCACTGGCCTCTAGGGATCACTTTGGGAAATTTGGGGCCACCTGGTTATTTCAAAGAATTAGACTTGTAGATTAATGACATTGAGGTGACTTCATTGGACAGTAATTCCTTGTCAGTTCTCATAAGCTGATTGGGAAGCTTGGCTGAGGAAAGAAAATTACATATACTAAAGACTGAAATTGAGCTCACGGAATTGCTCAGAGGAATGGGCCGACAGAGAAAAAGCGCTCTGCTGCAGTCATTCTCCTAAGTTCTTTTGGCATCAGGCTCATCAGAGATCTCCCTGGGGAGACACTAGCATACACCCTGCTGAGTTGCTGGCTGCCCTTTTGGGGAAAATTTCTCCTGAACCAAGGAGTTGATCAGTGAGCGAGCCGTTGTGAAATCTGATAGAGATGGGCAGAAGGACTCCCCAGATATTTTATTTAGAACCATCCCCTTACACACAACCTTGGCACTTACAGATTCTCCCCTGAAAAGAATTAAGCAGTAGCAGAGATGTATTTACTAGATGCAATAATGAAAAAAAAGAAAAGAAAAAGAACAAAAATCAGAAGTCCTCCAAGGGGGGAATCTCTTAGTCTAAGCCAAATTCTACTTACAGTGGAGACAGTAACTCTGGCAACTTTTTTTTTGTTGGCTGTCTTTGGTGGAGATTTCCTACTGGGCTGGATCAGAGCCCTGGGGCAGAGAACCCTTTGGCTTGGCTGCTAAGCCAGGCAGGGGCTGAATACAGGCTCAGCCGGACAGCAGAGGCTGCCAAGTGCCCTCTATTGTGGGCAGCAGGGGCCTGGTTACATGTAAAGATGTTCTCCAGAGCAAGTGGTGAAGGGCATGAAATAGCTCTGATTTTATAGTATCACGAGTGTTTCCCAATGTGGGGTTTAGAAAGTGGTGTGGAGCAGGTGAAGGGAGGGAACCCTTGGTTGCAAGGGTAGGATGGGCACCACGTGGTGTGTGGTCTGATTGTCTCTCGTTTGGGCTTCTGTTTCACTCGTGCTCTCACTCTGGTCCTCACCATCATGACCGTGTTCATCATACATAGGGCAGATGTACACACACTTCAGGAGCCACTCAGGCTTTGGGAGGCTGTTGCCTTGAACCCGGTGCCACCGCTTGGGCTCCTTCAGTACTAGTTCTGACTTTGAGCGCCTCGCCTTCATTTATGAATGCGGCCACTAGGGGGAGCGCACGTATCAGGGAAAAACCTGTTCCCCTGCAAGCCTAGAGCGGTCTGTAAAGGGACAGCCACCAACCTCTGGATCCCAGGCTGACGGTGAGCTGTGATTCCTTTGGCCAGGTTCTGAAGACAGTCCACCCAAGCACGCAGGCAACAACGAAAGCCATTCTTCCAGGAGAAGGAATCGGCATTCCAAGTCAAAAGTCACCAACGGCGTTGGAAAGAAATGAAAGACCCTGGTTAATCAAAGATGTTCCAGAGTGCCTAGAACTGAGAGGGAAACGGAACTCATCTGGACCTCCCTGTGAGGAGGTCAAGGCGCACAGGGCAAGCAGGAAGAGGCGAGGGTACTTGGGGGTCATTATTTGACATCGTAAGTCTTGTTTCCCACAGACCTGGCCGCGCCAGGCAGATCATTGCCTGGGGGCCTTCGCCAATGTGGGGTCTGTTCTCACTTCAGCACTTGGCACGCAGTCACCGGTGGCAGTGCGGTGCGCTGGAGGGAAACGGTAGCTATCCACTCACAGTCGCCAAGAGCAGCTCCGTGCTTGCTGTATGGTGGATGCAGCCTCAACATCTTCCTTCAGACAAGACATTAACCCCACGGTTAATGGACTGGTCAGCAGTTTTTATTTTATTTTTATGAATCTACCATCCCATTGATTGATTTAAGTTCAGGCCACTTTTCTGTCTTTTATTTTGTTATTGTCGTTATTTGTTTTTAAGTTAGGATGCTTTTTAATAGCCTTTAGAAGCCGCTGCTGAAATTGACATTGGGGGAAGGGTTCCCCTTCCTGCTAGAGTGAAGAAGGGAGGAGGTATTGCGTTTCTGTTAGGTAACCTCAATCTCCTTTAAGACCTTCCACCACGTGGCGAGTGTACACCGGTCAGGAGAGGGTAGCTGCCTGCCTAGGAGCCTTGCTTCCAATTATTCCCTTCCCAATGTGATTCATCCAGACTTAACCCTCCGTGCACAAAAACAAACCTGCTAGAGAGGCAGTGGACACCACAGCTTCTCCCCAGCCAGGTGCCTTTTACATCGGGTTTGTTCTCCTTCCATGGTGTGTTGCCGACATTGTCACTGAGTTCCATGTGAGGTGCTGGTGAGTATTACCTTTCATCCGTGCCATGCTCCAGAACCTTGACCCTGATAGTTCACCACCTCTGATAGATCCCTGTTTTAAATAAAATGATCCACGTTAAAGCCTGTCAAAGGTCTGTCTGTAAAATGTTCATTTTTCTTGCATCTTACTGGTATCTTCCATTGTCTGTAAGCACTCAGTGTGTTTTTCGAGTGACTTTAGGATACTATGTATGTGTTTTAGATAAAAGAAAAAAGAAAAGATACATATTTTAAAGGGCTTACGGCCATATATGTCCTGCTTCTTAGACTTCTCAAGTGACTAACAGGAAATGAACAATATAGTCATTGTTTTTCCTGTGGTAATGGTTTCCAAGTTGGATTTTTTTTTTTCCTCTAACAAGAGGCTAGTATTCAGTTGATTAGCTTATAGATATCAACGCACTGAAAGTAATCCTTTTGTTCCCTCATTTCACAGAGCACAAAGGTTTGTTCCGATGTCTCTTCTTCCTTTAAGGAAATCTTTAACCATAGAAGTGTCATGTTTTTCTTCTTCTGTAAAACAGTTCCAAGGGGAATGGGTTGAATGAATCCTGCACAGCCAGGGTCACATCCTGTGCTCGGGAGGGGGGGATCAGAGCTCAATAGTGGGTTCTGCGGGAGTGGAGAAGTGTCAGTGGTGGCTCTGCTCACTCGGCAAGTGAGGGGTTTGTCCGTGACGGGCTCAGCTCCAAGCTCTCAAATGTCATCCAGCCAGCATCCGCCTGCTTCACAAAAAAGGATGGAAGAGAGGCAAAGTGCGTGTTTTATAAAACCTGCCTGCACTTTTATAACCCATCAAAGAGGACTTTTTAAAACACAGGTACAATTTAAACATCTTACTTTGCAAATAAATGGTTTCATCTTGCGTTCTGCTTTTCTAAGCATGACATACTTGTGCCCGTTGGACACCTATCTCTTCTTTCTTGTGCCTGTGGTGCCTCACTGAGTGTTTCCAGGTCCACATTTCCAGGAGAGCTGGGCCTGACACTTTCACACGCCTCTGACTGTAGCCTCGGCCCAACTGATGGAGCATGTGTTCTTCCTCCAAGGCCAGCCCCAGGAGGCAGCTGTTTCGCAGGTGGCGAATTCAACTTTACTGTGGCATGTGTGAAGAGCAGGGTGCACATGAGACCATTTTTTCTCCATGGCTCTGCTAGAAATAGCAAGGAAAGTCCTCAGATACTTTCCATGCCCTTTCTTTGAGTTGAAACTTTCTTTTTCCTTTTCAGTAAGCGCCCTTTACTGTAGTCGTTACAAAACCAGTGCTTTCCATGGCCGGCCAGGACTACAGCAGCCATTACTCTTGGGAACCATCCTGCTAGGTCTGGCCTACTTTTTTCACTGTTTCTATGGAAATAGACCTCACATGGATGGAAATAGAATGCCTGTTTCAGAATCATCATTCAATATCTGAAATGATTTGATTTAAATTATCTCATGTTCTCTGTTTGTAAACTGCCCTCCGAAGAGACAACATTGTTTTGGACCTCAAGCATGAAGAATGGTTTCTGTATTTTTCTCCTTAAGTAGCATTGCATTCAGTGGTAGGTTCTTTTCCCTTTTCTCATTCTTGGTCTTCCCAAAGCTGCTTCCCACATTTCTTACATCTGTTTTCACCATTCATAGAAACCTTGGCCTAACTGCTCTCACAGCAATGCTAGGATGTTTCATGTATCATTTTGATGATACAAGACATCCTATAAATGCCAGTCTTATCTTCACTAGGACTCTACTTCTACAGTAAGCTCCTAAGGTACTCGCCCAGGAGAAAATAAAATTTGCTACCAAATACCACAGGTAGAGCCTCCTTGGTCTTCCCTCAGAAGCCACCATGTAGCACCCTGGAGTGATGCCTTGTTATGCCAAGGTCCGCCCTTTGGAATTGGGAGGGTTTCAGGTAGAATCCTGCACTTACAGAGGCCCTCAGGGTCACTGAGAAGGGGAGGAGGTTGGACACAGAAGGGGAAGCTAAACACCAGGTGGGGAAGAGACAATGTAACCATTTGGCAGCCAGGCTGAAGCTGGCCCTTACAATGCGGGGTGGGGAGTTAACAACATCCACTGGAATGTGCTCAGCGACTGCTACAGAGTTCCTGGGCCCACCCTGATGTTTACCAGGTGGGCGCCGTTTATATGGTTGGTTCTTATTGTTATGACAACTAGAAATCCCACAGTAGACTATACAGTGCTCCCTACCATTTCCCACGTACAGGATTGAAATCAAGATGTAAAGAGAGCTGGCCAGGTGCGGTGGCTCACGCCTGTAATCCCAGCACTTTGGGAGCCCGAGGTGGGTGGATTGCTTTAGGTCAGGAGTTCAAGACCAGCCTGACCAATATGGTGAAAGCTTGTCTCTACTGAAAATACAGAAATTAGCTGGGCGTGGTGGCAAGCACCTGTAGTCTTGACACTTGGGAGACTGAGACAGAAGAGTTGCTTGAATCTGGAAGGTGGAGGTTCCAGTGAGTCAAGATCGCACCACTGCACTCTAGCCTGGGTGACAGAGCGAGACTCCGTCTGAAAAATAATAATAATTTAAAAAATTACTGTTAAGGAGAGCTAAGACATCTCTCAGTGTTCCATTACATAATGAGCCTCTTTCCTTCACATGTGTGTGCACATTCCCAGGATTTATTAGAGATTTGGTTCTTTGCAAGGGTCAGTATCAGTAATGGCTGACGCTGGTGGGCTGCAGACGTGTTGCCATGCCATAGAGGTTCTTACAACATTTCCCCTTATGACACTTCATTCTAACCTGATGCTGGGACTGTCTCAGGTGAAGATTGCAATCGTTTCTTTAATTGAACTTTGGTATTTGATGCATTAAATAAATACGGCTTTTTAATTTTGCTCTCTTCTGTGAATTTAAAGGAATTATTTCATTGATGTCTACCGAAGAAGAGGAAAGACAGTTGGATGTGATTTTTTTTTTTAAGTTTGTAGGAATGCTGAATTGTAAAAATCTTCCTTTTCTTCCATGTTTACTAAAAAATGCCTTTAGTCCATTACAGAAAGTTCATCTGTGACTTGGTCTACTCTGATACTTCCTTTCCTGCTGATTGTTAGGTGAAATTTTGAAGCTGCTTGTCCTACAAGAAGATATTTGTTGTCACAGTCTAACAGCGTTCAAGGGTTTGCAACAGGTCCAAGTACTTCCAAGGCCTCACAGGGCTAAGCTGAATTTATCCCTTGTGATACTCTTATACATCGGGTTGAAACCTGGTTTCTAGCTCTATATTCAGTACACCTGGTGGGGAGGTGGGTGACAGCAAGCTTCCTGCCTGCATCTCTGGCTCCTAAGCCTCAGCATTGTCCTCTTGGAGCAGAGTGGAGAAGGGTGTTGGCAAATCCTTTCCACTCTCGTAACCCCAGTGAGGACAGTAACATCATTCAGTTCATAGAATTTACCCAAGGGTTTTGCTTTCACAGCTGATGCAACCAACCACCCAGCCTCTTGAAGTGATCTGGGCTCAGCCCGTACTTCTTGTGCCTGGGAGTTCATTGCTGGCATTTCTTTGTTACTGGAATGCTCAAGACATCACCCTGCCGAGGGTCTGCAAACTGTGGGCACCAACAATGCTCTGCGGTGGCAGGAAGATTTTCTCTGAGCTGCGACCTCTTGCCCTGTGGAGCAGTCATCTCGGGGCGTCAGAGCCTGGTGTTCCAGCGTCGGGTGTGGCCCCTTTCTGGATGCTAGTAAAGGCTTTACAAACCACAGGAAATAAAGTGTGTCTGCCTTTAAAAGAAAATTGGTTTTCTAACATTCGAGACTAAAAAACCAAAATACTTCATTTTCGTGTCTGAAGTATACACACAATAGCTTTAATTACAGAGTCAAATTGCCGGCAAGGTTTATGTAATAGTTCATACTGGAAATCTGGGCTGTAAACCTGATTGTTCCCACCCGCCCGACAAAGGGCTGTTTGGGCTCATTCTCCTCTATCCAACTGCATACGTCATGGACTGATTAGGTATTTTATGGGTGCAGCGTGGGAAAGGCTTAAGAATGATCTCCAGCTTTCAAAATGTTAGGGATCCTCTACCTCTCTTAGAGTGGATGAAATCCAGACCAGGAGCAGGGGAATAAGGGTTCACTGGGGCCACTGCTAACATGACTTCCAGACAGAGGCATTCGGAGAGCTGGATCCTTCAAAACACTGTGTGGGGCTCTCCGCACTCCTTCCCTCTCATGCCTGAATCCTCCCAGCAGCTACAATAACACAAGCTTGCACACAGAACACACGGCCAGGAGGGGCCAGGGGGCCGCCAGAGCAACAGCCTGAGCCTCTGTGCCAGGCTCCTCCACTTGATTCTTGTGCACACGTCTCATTCGCATCAGCAGACCACAGCCCCACAGATCCTCACCTGCCTCAGAGCTCGAAAATGGATGGCAAGGAGCTGGTTCCCTGGAGACTGCCACACCTATGCCCCTCCTCCTTGGGAGGAGACTCCGATCTCGGGTGCTTCCTTGATTAGAGATGGCCACATCTCTAAGCCCTCTTCAGATGGCTCCAGGGGTGGTTGGCTGGTTGCGTGCTCTGTGGATGGAATAACTGGTGTCAGCCTTCGACGTCTCTTGTGTCCTTTGAGTACACAGACTCCAGCCTCGACATCCCTTTGTTTCTGTGGCCTGAAATGAGTTGAGATGCCAGCTCTTGAACAGGGTCCCCATACTCCACGTGGCTTCTTTTCCTGATGTTTTGAGACATTCTGCGACTGTTAGAAGGCAATTTCTCTCCCCTGTAGCAGCTCCCTCTGCCCTCAGGAATGTGATTTACAATCTGGTGAGGCCATAAACCTCTACTTTTCATGTCTGAAAAACAGCAAAGTATGGGAAAGAATGTAAATTATAAATACTGAATTCCTATGGTCAGCAATAATGGAATGGCCTGGGTGGGTTATATTTTTTTAATATGGTGGGCATATGGCTTTAATTTCTAAGGGGTTGGGTCCTCCCCTACCATGGTATGTCTTGGGAGAACAGATAGCAAAATGCCCTGCTGTGATACAGTGTTTTTCCAAAATGAAAAAAGTAGCGTTTTTCTGATGACTCACTGGCCAAATACTTTGAAATGCCACTCTTCA